ATAAAAAGAAATGAAATTGAGTTATTTGTAGTGAGGTGGTTGGACCTAGAGTCTGTCATACAGAGTGAAGTAAGTCAGAAAGAGAAAAACAAATACCATATGCTAACACATATATATGGAATCTAAAAGAAAAAAGGGTCCTGAAGAACTTAGGGGCAAGACAGTAATAAAGCTGCAGACGTAGAGAATGGACTTGAGGACATGGGGAGGGGGAAGGGTAAGGTGGGACAAAGTGAGAGAGTGGCATGGATATATGTACACTACCAAATGTAAAATAGATAGCTAGTGGGAAGTAGCTGCATAGCACAGGGAGATTAGCTCGGTGCTTTGTGTCCAGCTAGAGGGGTGGGATAGGGAGGTTGGGAAGGTGATGCAAGAGGGAGGAGATATGGGGGTATATGTATACGTATAGCTGATTCACTTTATTATACAGCAGAAACTAACACACGATTGTAAAGCAATAATACTCCAATAAAGATGTTAAAAAAAAACCCAAAACTTCACCTGTGCAGGCACACTTTATTTTGTGCTTCACTTTATTGTGCTTTGCAGATAATGCATTTTTTGCAAATTCAAGTTTTGTAGCCACCGTGGGTCAAGCAAGTCTATTGGTGCCATTTTCTGGACAGCTTGTGCTCACTTCCTGTCCTTGTCTCACATTTTGGTAATTCTCACAATATTTCATACCGTTTCAGTATTTTTTTATATGTTATGATGATCTGTGATCAGTGATCTTTGATGTTACTATTGCAAAAAGATCACAACTAGCTGAAGTCTCAGTTGATAGTTAGCATTTTTTAGCAATAAAATTAAGGTATATATGCTTTTTTTAGACATAATGCTATCGCACGCTCAATAGACTACTTTTACATGCACTGGGAAACAAAAGAAATATGACTCATTTTATTGCAATATTCATTTTATTGCAATGATTTGGAATGGAACCCGCAGTATCTCTGAGGCGTGCCTGTAAAGCCACTTTATGCTAGTCAATCTATAGTGAAGTATGTATGGTACCTAGTTCAGATGTGGGTTCGGTCATCCCTAATGAATCCTTTAGCTATCTTTGCACACAGCTCCTCTTCAAGATCTCCTCCAGGTTATGTGTAGATCCGGAGTTGGCATACTTTTACTGTAAAGGGCAAAATAGTAAATATGTTCAGCTTTGCAGGCCATGCAGTCTCTCTCACAACCACTCAACTCTTCCAGTGCAATGTGAAATCAACCACAGACAATATGTAAATGAATGGCTATGGCTGTGTTCCAATAAAACTTTATCTACAAAAGATAAGCAGCAGGTTGTTTGCCAACCCTTGGTATATGACGGGTATTTGTACTAGGTAAGGTGACCAACTCATCCCATTTTGCTCAGGACTGTTTCAGGTTTAGCAATGAAATTCCTATGTTCCATGAAACCCCTCATTCTGAGACAAAGCAGGAAGGTTGGTTAACATGGACTATTAGGTGGGTTCTATTTGTAATTTATAATTAAGTCGAGACGTAGAATACAGCAAATGTGATAAGAATCACTCTTTTTTCCCTAAAAAATGTTTTGGCTAAGCTTATATCTGTCAGCATAAATTTATAAATTACAAGTGCATTCTGTAACCCCCCACATATTATGTACATATGAGGACAGGCACCAGGTCACAATTTTCCTTTCTTCCACTTCTGTACAGGGATTTCCCACTTCCTCTCATAGTTAGTCCCATCTTCAGACAAAGCTACAATCTGAGTGTTGGCAAGGTGTCTGAACATCTCAGGAGATAAAAGTGAAGTTATAATAGAATTGTCATTCTTGAACTAATTATAATATTATTGTTCCATGTTAGAGCAAGCCCCAGAGAGTCTGCTGAACTTTGGGGGATAAACAAGAGAGCATCTTCAGCGATTGAGGGAATACAGAGAAAAAGCAACCCCAGAGCACTAATGGACTGTCTCCAGCTATGCTAGTGGGTGTGCCTATTTCTTCTTTAATAGAGATGTCCAGGAGTTTTAGTTGTACTTAGTGAGAGGAACAGGGAAAAATACATCTAGTCTATCTTCCCCAAAGTGGAAATACCCCTTTCCACTGTTTTTATAATTGAAAAATAACTCCTGGTCTAGAGAATAGAAGCCTAATTTGAATCAAAATGTCATGACTCACTGCTTAATTCCCAGACTGGGTTTCCCTTGAGGACAGGTTTTGGAAAAAAAGAGTAAGAAGTACACATATTGGATCTTTCAGGCAACTTTCCTGAAGCTATTTATCAGGGTTATTTTTCCCTTAGGAAAGTGAGATACTCAGACTTTTTGAGGATCACTGGACACTAGCTATATGTTACACCAATTCTTGGGAACTCCATGGAACATGGTTTTCCACTGGTCAGAATATCGTCTTACAGGGGTCCATGGAGGTTTGATCCACAAATGCCTCTCATAGTTCTAGTCGGTCACAAACCCTTTTTGTCATCAATTATCTGGTTCATGAGCATAGAGTTGCTACATATATCCTCTATCCTGGATAAACATGCTTTCTATATTTAATATAAGGTCTATTAAGGTAGGAAGAGCCAAGTTGAGGCTCCTGAAGCTCTCTAGCTACAAAAATAATAATGCAAATGTATTACAATTTCTGTGGAGAAATTCCTACTATAAAAATTCTTGAAAGATACAGGGATAGTGATTTCTGTTTTATTTTTACTTAACTCTCAAATTTGGCCAGAGTCAGTTGGTCTTGGACTGGTCTTAGAGAATGAAAATTAACCTAAGCTTAGCAGGTGGTGACATCAATCGCATCTACTATTTGGAAGTACTCTTTTTCCAAGAGCAAATCAATAAAAGTCCTCCTATTGAGCCACTGGAATACAGTTTATTTTACCTAGCTAGATACCTTGCATTGTGTCATCACCATCTTAGCTCAGAATTATTTCAACTGTTTGGCACTTGCCACAATTTAATATACAGAGACATGACTAGCTTACCTTCTCATAAGATATCACATAGGTCAAATATATTGGTGACATGAGCTCCTAGAATCCGAAGAGAAGCAGGTTCTTTGGCCTTAATAAAACTCATGTATATCATGGAGTAGGAGATTAATTCTGTGAAAATATAACAGCCTTCTATTTCATGGTCAGAGATAGGTTGGAATATTTTTTTTCCAAAGTAAAGGACATATTATTTCACCTTGAACTGTGTACTATTAAGAACATATACTTTATTTGGATGGATATTTAAAGCTAATAATTGAATAATCAGAAAGATTTCTGTAAGTTGATTGAAACCCCATGAAACCCCATGTCCTAAACCCCAGGACCTATGAATGTGACCTTATTTGGAAAAAGGGTCTTTGTAGATGTAATTAAGTCAAGGATCTTGAGATGAGATCATCCTGGATTTAGGGCATGCCCTAAATCTAAGGACAGTGTCCTTATGAGAAAAGGGAAAGATATAAGCAGACACAGAGGGGAAAGCAGCATGAAGACAGAAGCAGATATTGGAGTGATATATCTACAAACCAAGGAATGCCCAGGATTGCTGCGACCACCAGAAGTTAGAGAAAAGCATGGAGTGGATTCTCCCTCAGAGCCTCCAGGAGGAACCAACCCTGCTGACACTTTGATTTTTGACTCTGGCCTCCAGAAATGGGAGGGAATAAATTCCTATTGTCAAGCAACCAAGGCTGTGGTAACTTGTTACAACAGCTGTAGGAAACTAATACAATGTCCCAATCTGAATTGGGCCCAGAACAAAAGAAGTTTCCCTAGACAGTCCAGATTGTAGTTTAATCAGATCCAGTGGATGGTACTTAAAATTTTGGAAGTAGATCAAGGTATTATATGAGACTATGACAATCTCCAGTAGGGGAATCTCAGACCACTGAGGTTTTGTAGAGTTATTCTTCAGCAAGAAGTTATTCTCCTTTACAGAAAGAGCTTTTGTTTTGCTATTGAGCCTTGATAAAAATTTATCTGGTTATACAAAACCAGCTGACCATAGGCCCTGAGTTACTCATTAGGATCTGTGTGTTTATTCCACTTAGCAAAACAGCGTCATGTAGAATTACACAAAGGTTAGGTCTCAGCAGGCCCTGAAGGCACAGTTAAGTTGTATCAGGATATGACTCATATCTCTCATATACCTACTTTTGCCATACCATATTAAGCCAAATTCTCAATTGGTCAATGTTTAGGCCAAAAGAGTAAGTGACTTCTTCAATTTGCAGAAGCTACTAAACACTCCCATCCAAAGCTGTGTCATAGAGATGAAAACAAATCCTGATTCAGCACAGCCTAAAGTGACAGGAGAAAGCACACATTCTCCTGAGACACAGAAAAAGGAGCCCATGATTTTGTTTTTGCTTGTAAACTGGATTACAGTGAGGGTGCCAGCACAATGCTGAAAAAAATTCAACCAACAGCACAGAAAAATATAGAACATCAGAGAGTATAAGTGAAGAATGTCATGAGAGAAAAAGATCAAAGGGAGGAAGGAAAGGATAAAGAAGGCTTGAGAAGAATGTGAGAGGTCCCAATGGGAGAAAAAATTAAAATGACATTCTATGTACCTCAACATAATACAGGCCATATATGACAAGCCCACAGCTAACATCATACTCAGTGATGAAAAACTGAAATCTTTTCCTCTAAGATAGAAACAAGACAAGGATGCCCCCTTTCACCACCTTTATTTGACATAGTATCGGACACAGTATTAGAAGTCCTAGCCAGAGCAATTAGGCAAGAAAAAGAAATAAGAGGCATCCAAATCAGAAAGGCAGAAGTAAAACTGCCATTATTTGCAGATGACATCACAAATAGAAAACTCTAAAGACTCTACCAAAAGACTATTAGAACTAATAAACAAATTCAGTAAATGTGGAGGATACAAAATCAATATGCAAAAATCTGTTGCGTTTCTATACAATAACAGCCAACTATCAGAAAGAGAAATTAAGAAAATGATCTCATTTATAATTGCAGCTCAGTTAACTCATTCCAGGTGGCTTTCTTGGGGGAATGCCTGATAATTTTTCTGAAGGAATTCCTGGAGTAGAAGGGGGCATGGTAGAAATGATAGGAGTGTCTAGGCTTAATAAAAATAGTGATGCTGAAGTTCTTAAAGCTATGCCAGCTCCAGAAGTTATGAAGACCTTCCAGGATATGGCCCAGAACCTTACAGAGAAATTGAAATAACAAAATAATCCAATGATTACCATAATGTATAATATTGGTATTCCCACCAGATCTCCTTGGTTCCTTTAATTCTACGGTTTGGAGTCAGGGCTTTAAGGAGATTTTGCTCTCAATAACCAGCACCTGTAGCTCTTTTTTCAACAGACTGTCCTTGGTAGGTTCTGGGAATTTCCTTGCCTCTAAGCCAATGACTGATGAATTTGGGAGTTGGAAAGCTCTATGGCCCTTGCCTTGGGTCAAGCCAGGGCTGAGGTGCAAATTGCACCCCAGAGATCTCCTTTGGGATAAACTGAACTGATTCTCTGTAACACTTTGCCTGAAACCATGTCCTAGTTTGGCTTCCTCCCCTTCCTTTTCCTTCTTTCATCACTTTTCCACAAGTTTTCCGTTGGGATTACTTCATAAATCTCCTGTACTATGCTGACTTAGAGTCATATTTTGGGGTGGTTGACCTAAGACACTTATCAATATGTTCAGTAAATGGCCAGTTAAATTTGGAAATCAAGCCTAATGCCCTTAATCAAATAAAGCTATTGCTGAAAGAAAAACAACCCAGATCACTTAAATTAAGTTCAGAATAATACAAACAGCAAATATTTGGCCTTCTAATCAAGTAAGTTGGGAGACTTTGAAGATGACCCTTACAGCCTGCCCCAAAGCTGCAGGAACATTTTAAAACTGATTTGCCATTGGGCTTTTCAAGTATGCTTTCTTACTAAGAATTATAAAATTTATACAATTATGATATGTGAAAAATATTTAAAACACCAATGAATGCAGATGGTAATTCACAGATTTTTTTCTTTACTGATGATTTTGTTGGTTTCTTTAAATCGGTTGCTGTATGAGTTTTCTAGGGCTATCATAACAAAGTACCACCGAGTGGGTGGATTAAACAATAGAAATTTATTTTTTCATAGTTCTGGAGGCTGGAAGTCCAAGGCCAAGCTATCAACAGGTTTGACTTTTTCTAAGGGTCCTCTCCTTGGCTTGCAGGTAGCTGTCTTCTCACTGTGCCGGCAAGTCCTTGGTGTTTCTTTGTGTGTTCAAATTTCCTCTTCTTATAAGGACATCAGTCATATTGTATTAGGCCCACCCTAACTGCTTCATTTTAGCTTACTCACTCTTTAAAAGGCCTTATCTCCAAATACATTCACATTCTGAGGTATTGGGGGTTAGGACTTCAACATAAGAATGAGGGGCACAATTTAGTCCATAACCATTGCCTATGGCATAAGAATTCGAGTGTGAAATATTTCTTGTTCTACTTTGAATAGAAAATGGTTTAATCAGAGAGAGGCATCTATTATTCATTATTTACATAGGTAAAGCCAAAGTTTGGCTTAAGGCTCTGGAGTTATTTTGATTTGTTATTAAACATTATTTTGTTAAAAATATTTATTTTGATAATAAACAGTAGGGGCCCCTTGTGTAGGATTTGAGTGGGGATTTAAATTACCTGGTGGGAATACAGCCATCTTTTTATTATTTTATATTACATAAGCCTCCATGAAGAAATCAGGAATAGGCTGGCTGATAATTAAAATCTTACCATGTGGTAAAGGGTATCACTTTGTAGTTATACAGTAGGGTTGATTTACTATCAAGTAATATCATCTCTGTTTCTAGCCAAAATATAACTGAAGCATTTTTTAAAAAAGAACAAGAAAGTTAGTGAGAGACAGTTGAAAGACTGTTGTAATTCTACACATGCAGGACCACCAGGCGCTAAAATACTCATGTATGACATTTTGGGTCGCCCCAATGATTAAGCACCCCGCAGTTACCTAAGTGTGGCAGAAAGCAAAGAAGACGTGGAGTAGTGGGCTGTGGTGTGGTAAGCCATCAATATTACCTACAGTCCAGGCCTGTTGCAAAGAAAATGACTAGAGCCATTACCCAGAATTTCCTTCCTCATTGTTCCACATAAATGTTTTAACTAACTTCCTTATTTTTCTGTTTCCACCAACATTGCATATGCATTTGTAATGTCAACTGAAAAAAAACCGCACAACCTAAGAATTGAGAATTATGTTCTATTTGGTGGACAAAAGTGAGGACTTAAGTCTGTGTCAGTCTGAAGAGGTAAGGGAGGAGCCAGGATATATAGGACTTTTTGCAACAAAAACCAAGTAGTCAGATCACCAAAAGTTTACTGTTAATTAAAGAAAACCAGACATCTCAAGTCAATGAATTTAGCACTTTTCTGTGCATGGGAAGATACAATAGTCTGGGCTCATTGAAATCATTCCTTTGATATGCACCTCAGCTATATGGGGCCAGTATCCTGTGTTTTTCCCATCCTGAGTCTCTTCAGGGTGCACCATTAAGGAGTGGCTACAGTGGCTGATGGCTTGATGGCAGGCATCCTGTTTCTATCCTGAGTTCCTTCAGGGTGCACCGTCAGGCCACTGTAATGTGATGGCTTGATGACTGCAACATCTTTTGTTTACTGATGTGGCAGGCAACATTTTTTCACTCACAGTAATTATTTTGTGGTTTTTCAATGTATCAGAATAAAATTGCTACAAAACCAAAAAACGAAAACAGGAATAGATGTTAGCCACAGGTCTTGGGAGCTTGATTAAAAAGGAGAGGTTTTACTGCCATGGTCTGGGGAGTAGAATATTTTTCGTTGTAAAAGGGTGAGTTGTTTTTAAGTTAGGCAGAAGCCTTTTGCCTTTGTGCATTTTGTTTTGCTTTTGTTTTTGAAGTGCAGGTCTGGGAAATGGTAAGGCAGGATGTGGTGGATATGTTTCTCTTGTTTTGGCTACTCATGATTGTAAGAGCCTTACATTTTGAGGGAATTTCACACTGGGTGTCCTGGTAGGAAACCAAGTATGTCTCAGCTCTGCCTGCCAAAGCAGAAGGGTCAAGTACATTTGAAAGTCATGGCAGTGAGGGAGTGGGCAGGTGATCGAGCTTTAGCCAATAAGATACATGCCACCAGGCTTTTGAATCTTGGCAGCACAGTTGCGGGTTTCAGAGTTTTGAGTTGACGGTACCTGTGGAAGGATAACACTTGTACTGTCAGTTTGCGTGTCCAAGTGGCAGCCGTGCCAGTAGCAGTGGTCTAACCTAACTTCATCCTATGGTTTGAACTTGCATGTATTTTTTTTTTTTTTTTTTTTTTGGTGTGCGGGGCTCTCTCTGTTGTGGGCTCTCCCGCTGTGGAGCACAGGCTCCGGACGCACAGGCTCAGCGGCC